CCCCTTCCTCCCCCCATACCATGTTGCCTAGGCTTCTCTTTTATATTAACTCAAACTCCCTTACATCGTTACTGTTTGTGTACATGTCCTTTCTTGTCCCTCTTTCCCAATAAACCACAAGCTCCGTTAGAATACAGTCCGTGTCACAGCTATCTTTGTATTCATGTACATGCTAGCATAGTGCCAATGCATATGGGAGGCATTTAACAGATGTCTCTTAATTTTGCTGAATTCTTTTTATTGCAATGCTGGAGCTGTGTATCAATATGGTGTTCATGTGCACTGACCAATGCAATAGGAAAAAATACAACCCTGCATGATTGTATCCTATTTTTTTCCTGTAACAACATGTTGACTTCCACATAGATTTTTGAAACTTGAACAAAATAGGAATCTTAAGACAACTTAATGACATTTAAGAATTCCACAGATCACAACGCTGCCGTTGTTGAAACTGTTCCTCTTTGATAATTCAAAGGTGATGAGGAAAGGATTTGCACTGAAAGAGTGAAGTATTGAATATAATGTTATCACTATCTTTCTGGTGTTCTACTAGATTTTTACAAGTATCACATCAAGTTCAAGGTATTATTTTTCTGAACTGATAATTCTATTTCTTCCCTTGAAAAATTAGGGAAAGCTGAAATTGCTAGAATTATCTAGAACTTTCCACCCAAGTATTAAATACCAGTCTTTTCCAGAAGCCAAAACAAAGTTAGCGCTAACAACAGTTTTAAATACTATTCATTCCACTACCAAATCAACCAGTACATTCCACCTAAAACTATTTTGGGTTGCTAAATTGGATGTTATTATTACACATGCTACACTAAAGCACAGAACAAGTTACATAGTCATTTGATCATTAACAGGTTTTTTTTGGTGATACCATTATTTGACTCATAAAATGGGTACAATTATCTTAAGGATGGAGACTAACCTAAAGGCGTGCTAGCAGCACAATCATTATACCCATACATTCTATAAGCCAAGCAGCCTGTAGGATGCCCCGGAACCTTTTCATCTTGGAAGATCATTTTAACCAGACTAGTCATCTCTTTATTTTTCATCATTTTGCACTCTGGACCTAAGTACCTTCCCCTATGCCTTTTACCTTTCCTTTATATGGTGTCTTGCCCCTTTAGAAAGTAAGCTCCTTGAGGGCAGATATTGACTTTCTTTTTGCTTGTATTTGTAACAGTAGCTGGCACATACTAAATACTTTATAAATGCTTGTTATTGAAAACTGGCCCATAGAGGATGGGAAAAAAGCCTACTAGTGCACAGCTCTAATTTATTTTCCTATTCAGTGGTTATATTTTGAGTCAATTCAAGGTCAAAACTGGCATAACTATTTCCTTTATAATATTAGTCTGTGTTAAGAATATGTATTTATGTAGAGAAATTGAGGAATCAGAGGTGAGGAAGCGTGATGGAAGGTACTTGAGAGAAGAATAACAAGAGAGAAACAGAAATGCTTTTATTACCAAAGATCACTATAAACCAGCTGAATAGATTGAGGAAACAGATGCTGAGTTTGTGAAACAAGTCACAAGCTTCTCATGGAGAGGTAATATAGTATTTCCGGATAACATATAAATTATCTGAACATCTGATTGGAGCTTTCTCTTCCAAACAGAGAAGCTAATAATTTTAAACTTGGCTTTATGACAATTTCATCTTTCAAAAGATAGAAGAATCAATTTCTGAACAAATAAGAAGGAAGTGATTTCTGGTATGAAACATTGTACAAAAATGCAAACTTCATCTTCAGGTTTGTGATAGATGAATGGACATTCAAGCATAAGCTCATAAGTTCCCTATATTGGGAGAGCAGATATTCAACGAATTCAGCAAGATCTAGTGTTTTGTAGGAAGTCAGCCCAGAAGGGATAGAAAATTCTTAAGAAGTAGGTTTTAAAGGTAAGAAGATAAAACGGTTTCATGGAGGAAAAGGGGAGATTTAATGAATAGAGTGAAATTTTTAAAGGTCATACAATGAATCAGTTAGCAAGCATTTATTTGTTAAATTATTTTTGAAGGCAATCAGGGTTAAGTGATTTGCCCAGGGTCACGCAGCTAGTAAGTATCTGAGGCATTTGAACTCAGGATTTAAACTCAGGTCCTCTTGCCTCCAGGACCAGTGCCCTATCCACTGCACCATCCAGCTGCCCCTCAACAAACATTTATTAAGTACTTAGTATGTGTCAAAAGCTGAACTAAGTTTTGGGGATACAAAGAAAGGCAAAAAAAACCATCACTGACCTCATGAAGCTCATATTTCAAAGAGGGAGAAAAATGCAAATAACTATGTACACACAACTACAGCATGAATGGGAATTAATCTCAGTGGGAGGCACTACCAACGAGGGTTGGAGCAAGAAGGGAGAGCCACCAGGAGGTGAGGTTTGAATTGAATCTTGAAGGAAGCCAGAGTAGCCAGGAGGCAGTGTTGAAGGAGGAAAATATTCCTGGAATATTTAAATAGCCATTTAAAAGGCACAGAATAGATACATGAAGTATCACATATGAGGAACAGGAGGAAGGTCTGTGTAGCTGGATCATAGTGTGAGTGGAGGGGAATAAATTCTAAGAAGAATGGAAAGGTAGGAAGAGTCCAGATTGTAAGGGGTTTTAAAAGCCAAACAGAGGAGGACAGCAAGGGCAGGTAATAGAGAATAAATATAAAAAGTAGTAAGTCAGTTTCAGTCAATATACATTTATTAAGCCCCTATTATGTGCCACAGGCACTGTGCTAAACATTGGAGAGACAGTGAAAGGCAAAAAAATAGTCATTGCCTGGGTGGAGCTCACAATCTACTGAGAGAAACAACATGCGAACAACTATGTACAGACAATATACGAGATAAATTGGACATACCAGAGGAGAGGCACTAGCATGAAGAGGGATCAGGAAAGTTTTCCTGTAGAAAGCAGGATTTTAGTTAGTACTTGAAGGAAGCCAGGGAAGCTCAGGAGATGGAGATAAAGAGGGAGAGCATTCCAGGCATGGGGGACAGCCAGAGAAAATGCCTGGAGCCAAAAGATGAAGTGTCTTGTTAGAGGAACAGCCAGGAGGGCAAAGTCATTGGATTGCAGAGGTGAGGAATAAGGCGTAAGAAGACTGGAAAGGCAAGAGAGGGGCAGGTCATGAAGGGCTTCGAATGGCAAACTGAGAATGAGTTATTTGATGCTCGAAGTGATAGGGAATCATTGGAGTCTATTGAGCATGGGGGTGACACAATTCTTTGTTTTAGGGTGATCGCTTTGGTAGCTGGGTGGAGGATGGACTAGAGCAGGGAAGACTTGAGGCAGGTAGACCAACTAACAAGTTAATGTAATAGTCCAGGAATAGCGAGGATGGTAGCAGTGTCAGAGGAGAGAAGGGGGCATGTATGAGACATGCTATGAAGGTAAAATCAACAGACCTTGGCCACAGATTGGATAGGGAGGGCTAAAAGACATTGAAGTGCTGAGTAGGACACCTAGTAAAGGTATTTCCAAGAATGCTAAAACTCAGAGTGAGCTTAGGTTGGCAAGGAAGTCAAAGCAAAAAGAGCTTTCTAGCAGTTTGGGGGAAAGGAGGGAAATCAAAGATAGGACAACTGTTAGTGGTGAATGATAAATAAGAGAGAGAAGTATCACACCACTTCACCTTCTTGTGCATGCCCCCTTCCCCCTCCCTGGGGAGCTACCTTATTTAACAATTAATAAATATATATTTTTAAAGAAAAAGAGGAAGGACAGAGAAAAATCAGAAAAATGGATCAAGAATCAAAAATGTTCAAAATATAAGCAGTGTTTCATAACTGAGGACCTCCTATCAAAGGAATGGGGTGGGTTGTTTCTCATACTGTTTATTTGGGATCTTGCTTTTTCTTTGTAATTTTGCAACATTCACTTTTGATTGTTTTGTGTTTGTTATTCTTCATTGCTGCAGTCTCTCTGTATGTTATCTTAGTTCTGCTTTCTCTACCCTGTATCAGTTCATGTAAGTCTTCTTATTAGCACTGACCCTATTCATCATTTATTACAGCATAGTAATGTTCCATGATATTCATGTGCTGCAGGTTCCCTACCCCTGGTTTAACTGCCCACTCCCCCAATCCTCAACCCCCTCAACTGGTTCTTTGTTACTATAAAAAGTGCTGGTATAAATATTTCTATGTATATGAGAGGGTTTTTTTTTTCTTTTCAATGACCCCCTTTAGTGTATATGCTTAGCAGTGGAATCTCTGGATCAAAGGGTATGAATATTTGAGTTACTTTATTTGCATAATTCCAAAATGCTTTCAGAATCAGTTGTACCGATTCACAGCTTCACCCACAATGCAGTAGTGTATCTATCTTTCAACATTGACTACTACCATCTTTCATCAGCATTAACAATTTTCTGATAGTCAAGTGACAGCTCAGGGATATTTTAATTTGCATTTCACTTATTATTAGTGATTTGGAGCATTTTTCATGTAGTTATTAATGGTCGATCAAAAGCAGTTATTAAGTTATTAAGCACCTAATATGTGCCACACGCTGCTTCCAGATGGAGATAAAGAAAAGCAAAAGAGAATCCCTTCTCTCAAGTAGCTCATGGTCTAATGGGGGCAACATGAAAGCAACTCTTTAAACTTTATTTACTGTATGTACTATTATATGATTTTTTTTCTCTAAATGAGGTTAAGTTGATTTTTATTGAATCTTGAGTGAGTGTTTTCTGTAAGGGAGTGTACCACACAAAGAGGGAGGTGATCAGGGAGCCCTTGAACCAATAGCCCTAAGCTCACAGTAAGCCTAAATTGAAGCTGTCAGTCTCTCTCCACCTCTCTGTCTTTGTTCCATCTCTATCTTTGTCTTTGTCTCTGTCTCTCCCACTCTTTCCTCTTCATAAAGGGGCTTTACATTTGTAATTTTACAACATTCACTTTTGATTGTTTTATGATTGTTCTTTTAATTTACATTGTTGCATGAAATTCCCTAATATGTTACTTTTTTTTTTATAGAAATAGACGAGAAGAGGGTCACCAACTCACAAGGAGAAGTAAGTTAAACTACATCTTTTACATACACATTTGAGTTCTTTGAAATATATATAGAAAATATAATCATTTAAAATTTATTCAAAATTCCTTAAGTTTTATGTTTTGTGGTAAAATATCAGGTACGGTCATGTGAGATTTACACCTAGGAGTACCTTCAAACGACCCAGTTTTGCCTGACAAGGTTATAGGCACTGAACCTGTGATTTCATTGGCCTGGAACAGAGCCAGCCATCAAACACACAGCCCACAACACTCCTAAGTGCACTTGAACCAAACTGAAACATAATTGTGAAATATTGAACATATTTTAATAAATAAAAATGTAATAACACATAGAAAATGCTAATATGTGGTTTTCTAAGTCAATACTTGGCCTGCAGGAATCCTTGTGTATGGTTTCCTCCCCCCCCTTCTATTTGAATTTGACACCACTGCTCTAGACAGCACCCAGAGGTGAGAAACTCCCTCTGCCAATATAGGTCAGCACCTGCGATCTAAGTTCTGTTCTCAGACAGTTGTCTAGAACACCAAGAGGTCATGTTTTTGGCCTAGGGTGGCACAGACAGTCTAGATCAGAAGTACACTTTGAACCCCTGACTTCCTGGCTCTTAGGCTGACTCTGTCCACTTTTCTAAACCTGGGGGCCTCCTTCAAAATACTCATTGTGAAATCCCTGTTTTTTATTTAAATCTGTTCAAATCCTTTACTTTTGTAGTTCTTGTAAATAGCTGCAGCAGTAACAATCACAACCATAAATACCTCTCTTTAAAAGAAAGTAGAAAGTATCCTTATATCACTACTGAGTCCCTACTCTAACTGAATGCCTCTTAAAGGCAGCTGGGCTGCGTAGAGGATAGGGATGTTGTTGTTTGTCCTTTCTTGGAGAGGACCGTGATGTGAGGTGACGTCATGACTTGCAAGTGAATTGGATTTAAGTGAGGCAGGGTTTTGCAAAGTCACAAGCCTCACTTTCTCCTCTGGAGCCATCTGGGTCCAGTGGCCAGATATAGATCAGAATGACTGGAGACCACCCCCACTAAGCAGGGCTTGGATAGAGTTAAACCTAGAGTCAAGAAAGCTGATTTTCAAATCTGTCCTTAGATATGTCCTAGCTACAGGACCCTGGGCACTTAAACTTAACTTTCCTCAACTGTAAAATGGGAATGATAATAATACCATCTACCTCTCAGGGTTATTGTAAGGACCAAATGAGATAATATTTGTAAAGCACTTAGCACAGGACCTGATGTATAACAGGTACTTGGCAAATGTTTTTTGGTTTTTTCCCCCCCTCCTTTCTCCTTGCAAAGTGCAATATGAACTTACAAAGGTAAGTTTAGGCTTTTTTCTCACTTTCAGACATATGCCCTTTATCATACATGAAAATCATTGAAATGATAATTTTAATAGTAATAGTGAAATCATTGTAATAGTTATGCATGGTATTGATTATTTCAATTTTAGAACCAAGTACATTCCTGGGAATCTTTACAAGCATGTGTCATTACCAAGGAGAAATTTTCTAGAGAGCTCAACTTTTGCTTTTGGACACATTTATGGAGAAAATATGCAATTCCTATGATAAGCCAGGAGGAGTGGAGCAGTTTGCTTGTGGTATTGGTCAGATGTGGCTGAAGTTATAGAATTAATCCCAGAGATCTCTGCCCCTGTCAGATGTGTCAGCAGGCCAAAGAGTGTGTGCACCATGTTTTCCTATGCTTGACTGTATCTTAGGTCTGGTGCCAAAGCAAACATTCAAATCAGTGAGGGAAAATAATTTGTCAGGGCTACTTGCTGGTCTCAAATAGACTAAATAACTTGTTAACTTAATGGTGATTTTCACTTTTCAATGGGTTATTTTGCCATCATGTAAATACTGCCATCCTGATGCTCTGTGTGATACTTTAAAGAAAGCATACAAGAAAGCTAAGGACCACATAATAAGATGAAAGGGGAAAAAATGTTGGCAGCACGATTTTTTTTTGGCTCACCTATTTTTTTCAGAGTAGATTTTGAGCACTCCCTCCCCCCAGAAACAACAACAACAACAACAACAAATATAAGCAAAGTTGGGATTTGTCAAACAAAAATGAACATTTTGGAAACCCAACCTCATTAATATAGGTGCCTACTTCCTAGACTTTGAAATGCAAATTGAGAAATCATTATAAAACTCATTGGCTTATCTGAGAAAGGGAGATTTAACTTTCTTTTCTTATCTGAAAAAAAAATCACCAGAGAACCTTTTCTGGTTTCCATACAGAAATGAGTTCCTGTTTTTGCCAAAGTCCTTCTCCTGTAACCTAAGCCTGACCCTGTATCTCATGAACTGGGATTGTTAAATGCAAGTTTCGTCAGGAAAAGGAAAGTACGCATTTGGAGACCAGAACAAAGAATGGTCCTCTGACTGAGTTATTTCAGCTAATGAGGAGATCAGACTGTTCATGTAATTTCAGGTTGGTTATACATAGGGATTACTTCATTGTTCCTGGGAAGCCCCTAAACGAGACATCTTTTCTAAGGTCCTTTATTTCGGTGCCCTTTTGTTTCTTCTCCCCAATTTTTTCTTTTTATTTTTTTTCAATTAGAATTTTTTCTTTCTTCTGTTTTCTGTTAACATCAGAGCTAGAAGCAAAAGAAAGATGATTGTTCTAGCTCTAATGTTTACTAGGGGAACAAGTTTTGAAAACTGACCTCCCAGGCTGCCTTTCCACAGGAAAATATACCTTATCACCTTTGGATAATCTCTCTTAAGCTTTTAATGTCCCTGACACACATTTAAGGGTGATTATAAAGAACTGAGTGTTTGAGTGGCCTGTGAGCTCAGGATAAGTCAATAGTATGACTACTGATTAGAAAGTTAATGTGGTCTTAGGTTTCATAAAGCCAGGACCATGGTGTACACACAGGCTTCAGGAGGATATTGTTCTGCTGGACTCTGTCCCCATCAAACGGCAGCTGAAATGCAGTTTTCAATTCTGGGCAACACATTTTTGGAAAGGTAAACTAGAGCACGTTAATAGGATGGTGTAGGTCCTTCAGATCATGCCATGTGTGGATCAGTGGAGGGAACTGAGATTATCTAGCCTAGAGAGGGGAATAGTGCAGAGAGATAAAATAGCTGCCTTTTGTTATTTGGAACAATGTCATACAGAAACAGGATTAGATTTATTCTGCCCGTTTCAGAAGACAGAACTAGTAAGGGCAGAAGCTAGAGGGAGTCAGATTTTTTGCTTGATGTAACCAGGCTGCACAGTGGATACAGCGCTGGACTGCAGTCAGAAAGACCTGAGTTCAAATATGCCCTCAGACACTTACTAGCAGTGTGACTCTGGGCAAGTCACTTAACCCTGGTCGCCTCAGTTTCCTCATCTGTAAAATGAGCTGGAGAAGGAAATGGTAAATCATTCCAGTATCTTTGTCAAAAACACCTCAAATGGGGTCATGAAGAATCTCATAAGACTGAAATAACTAAACAACAAACAGCCCTATTCAGAAAGTAGAATGAGCTGTCTTGGTAGGCAACAATAATATTAGCTAGCATTTATATCACATTTTAAGTTTTGCAAAGCACTTTGTAATTATCTCATTTGATTCCCCAAAATAATCCTGGGAGATTGGTACTATTATTATCCCCATTATACAGATGAGAAAACTGAGGCTAGGGGCATTTGACTTGCCCAGAGTCATACAGCCTATTACGTGTCAGAGGTTAGATTTGAACTCAGTTCCTTCTGAGTCCAAGTCCAGTGCCGAATCCACTGTGTCACCTAGCTGATTTCATGTCCTTGTTTCAGACTACTTTTGACTAAACTCTACCAAGTGGCGAAGGAACGTCAGAGAGATGTTTAGAAACATGCCACTAAAACTTCCTATACAGGTCTGCTGTGGTTTGAGTCTATGTAGATTTGCTAAGTTTTTTTTCCTCTCTCTCTTTTGTCCTCAGTCACAGAATGCATCTCCTAAGCAGAGGAAGCAGAGTGTGTATACACCTCCCGCTATGAAAGGTACTGTGCAGGTACTGTTTCCTGTTGTGCTGACATGTGAAGCTTTAGACACTGCTAGTGTTGTATCTGCTTTTAAAACAGCAGCAATAACAAAAGGAATCCATATAACAAATGTGGTCCACTGTTAGTCTAAAGTGCCTACTATGTGCTAGGTGCCTTGCTAAGTGCTGGGGATATAAAACGAGGCAAAAGATAGCTCCTGCAGCTGCTAAGTGACAGTGTAGATAAAGTACCAGGCTGGGGTCAGGAGGATCTAAGTTCAAATCTGGCCTCAGATACTAACTACATGTGTGACCCTGGGCAAGTCACTCAGCTCTATTTACCTCAGTTTCCTTATCTATAAAATGAGCTGGAGAAGGAAATGGAAAACCGCTCCAATATCTTTGCCAAGAAAACCCCAAGTGGGGTCCTGAAGTCAGACACAAATGAACCACAACACATGTGTCAGGCACTATGCTAAGCCCTGGCTCGAAATTTAATGGGGAAGACAAAATGCAAACAACTATGTACATGTACAGAGTAAGTAAAGAATAAATCAACAGAAGGAAGGCACCAGAACTAAGTGGGATTAAGAAAGGCTTCATATAGAAGGAGGGAGTTTAGCTGGGGCTTGGCAGGAAGCAGAGATAAGGAGGGAGAATATTCCAGGACATCTGGGGGACAGCCAATAGTTTCTTGTGGGAGAAATAACAAGGAAGTCAGTCTCTCTGGGGTGGGGAGTAAGATGTAAGAAGACGGGAAAGGTAGGAGGAGTATAGATTATGAAGGGCTTTGAATGCCAGACTGAAGATTTTATGTTTGGTCTGTAGTGTGAGTTCAAATCTGGACTTGGACACTTGCTAGCTGTGTGACCCTGAGCAAGTCACTTAACCCTGGTTGCCTTAGTTTCCTCATCTGTAAAATGAGCTGGAGAAGGAAATGGCAAACCCCTCCAGTATCTTGCCAAGAAAATCTTAAATGAGGTCATGAAGAGTCCCATAAGACTGAAACAACTGAACAAGTGCGATAGGGAGACACTGGAGTTTATTTAGCATGTGGGGGAGGGAGGGAGGAGGAACAGGGAAATTGGGTGGGGGTTACATTTTTGGTGGGTGAATGGAGGATGGGCTGGAGGAGGGAGAGATTTGTGGCAGGCAGACCAACTGATACACTATTGCAATAGTCTAGGCTTGAGGAAATGTGGGCTTACACAAGGGTGGTGGCACTATTGGACTATTATTATAAACTATTAACTAGCTACTTGAACTTGAATAAGTAATTTAAATTATCTGGGCCTCAACTTTCTCATTTGTAAAATCAAAGGAGTGAACCTAATGGTGTCCCTTCAGGTTCTGACTTCTCCTAATTCTAATTCAGTTTGACCAGAGGATAACATTGAAGAGGAGCTATAAAGATAACAGTTTTTTCAATTATATTTTTTATTATATATTTTTCTTCTCTTTTAAAATCTTTGGGCAAAATTAATCAGAAACCCTGACAGTTCTTTTCAGTGACCATGACTCTTTGGGATCCTGCCCAACTTCGAGGCACCCACAATACTGGAGATTGGGTGTTCTATAGAAAGTATTACTTTGTGTCCGCAGCAGCTTCTCCAAGAAGTCCTGTTGAAGCTGCTGTTGAGCATAAAAGTAACAGCTGTTGAAATAATGAGTAAGTATCCTTATTCAGACTCTGGCAGAGTCACAAAACCTAAGTTAGCTCCTCAATAGGTCCTGTAAATGGAACAGTGAAATGCACTGATAGTTGACCAACTGCAGCTGGAGGGCGGGGAAAGTGTTTCACTTTTTGCACAAAATCATTCCATTGCATGAGGATGAACATGTCAAGTGCAGCACATAATTTTGTTACCTCCTTCTTGGGAAAGCACATATGTACTGAAAGAGAGGGGGCCTTTAATAGCTGCCATTGTCTGCTCCAGATGCAGAGGGGCCAGCGGAGGAGCTTTGCCAGTGTGTTTGGAGAGGAGCCTGAACTTGGACAGAAATATTTCACCCTACGCTCTCGCCAGGCACTGGGTTTCTGAGAGAGGCTGGGAATGGTCTGTGCACAAATGAAAACAATTAATTGCTGCATGTACTAGTAAACTTTCTTCCTCTAGAGCAATAAAACAGCATGTTTATTCTTTCATGAGACTAACAAATAATCAAGATCATGAGCAACATGGTCTATTCTGGTACAATCCGTGTGGATATGAAAGTGCTGGTGGATGAATTTTATTTCTAGAAAGGTAGCTCTTTGAGTGTGTGCGAAATAGTCTTTTAAAGACTTAATCAACCTTAACACGAATAGAGAGCATAGAGATGCCGATGACTCTCCCCGAATTCTATTTTAGGTTAGTCTGTCCAAACAAAGTAGGGGCAGCTAGGCTGTGCAGTGGACAGACTACCATGCCTGGAGTCAGGAAGACTCATCTTCCTGAGCTCAAATCTAGCCTCAGACACTTACTAGCCGTGTGATCCTGGGGAAGTCACTTAGCCCTGTTTGCATCAATTTCCTCATCTGTGAAATGAGCAGAAGGAAATGGCAAACTATTCTGCTATCTTTGCCAAAAACAAAACAAAACAACAACAACAAAAAACCCTAAATAGGATCACAGAGTCAGACATGAGTGAAACGACCGAACAACAATAAAAATGAAGTAGTAATGTATTCTCTTCTCTGTAGCATAGCAGTTTTATTTTTTAAGAAAGACCTTAAAATAAATGTTATGAGGGCTAATAGCTGTCATTATATTATATCTGACTCTAGAAAGCACGGCAATATTATAAATTGGGGCATTTAGAAAAAAACAATCTCTGGTCCAGAGATGATTTCATGAATTTTCCTTAATCAACATGAAGAGATTTGGAAAACTAGAAGGAATATATTTCCTTCATAATTGACTTGACTCTTCCAAAGACTCAGTCAGTTCCCAGTGAGAAATGGGGGGATGACTGAACATTACCTCTTTCCCAGATCGTCAGCCTGCTGAGAATTAAGTGCCTCTTAGACAACCAGGGAATCCCTCAGACACACAAAAGAACTGGGGCCAGTCTGCTGCTGCCATACAAGCTAAATAGTAACAACAAAACCACTCAGCATTCTTCCCTAAGCTATACAAATCTCATCTCCCTTTCCATAAGAGCTTGAAATTAATTTTTAAAGGCAATAAATAAGTAATGGCCAAATGTGGTACATTCTACGTTAATTTGGATCTGAATGGTGATTTCATTGGTATGGGAAATGCTGAATGAGCTAACTCCTATCAAGGCAGATGACACCTCCTTTGCAGTTTATTTTTTTAAAGAGTTGCCTGGGGGCACTGCATAATTAAATGACTTGGCTAGAGTCACAGAGTCAACATTTGGCAGAGGTCGGAGAGTGGACATAAATTAAAGGATATAAATTAATTTATGGGACATACATTTTAAAACGAATATAGGATACAAGGGAGTAGAATTGCAATGCAGAGGCCACAGAGAACACCATTTCTCTGAAATGCAGACACAATGCGAAATATAGAGGAAAGAAATAGCTAGGAGAGCAATGCAGCTAATAATGCATCTGGCCCACTTCTGAAAAGACAGGGTATAAGAAAAATGGATTTGAAAAATATGAAGGGCAAGCCTGTGAGAGAAGAGAGCCAGTGCTTAAAGCAACATGCACCCTACTTCTATGCTAGAACAACTCAATGTGTCTTGTGTTTATGCACAGGGAAAATGGTCATGTGCCAAGCATAAAAGGCTAGTGGTCACAAATCTATGAAAGTATCTATTGTTCAACCACTATATACTAGTCAATGAGAATATAAAGAGAGACATGAAACATTCCTGTGCACATGGAGCTTATATTTTATTAAAGGGGAGAGTATGCACATAAATGAGCACAGCTAGGTGGTGCAGGAATAGAGTGCCAAGACCTGGAGTCAGGAGACTCATTATCCCCAATTCAAATGTAGCTTCAGATACTTACTAGATGTGTGACCTTGGGCAAGTCACTTAACTTTGCTTGCCCCAGTTTCCTCATCTGTAACATAAAGAAAATGGCAAACCACTCCAGAATCTTTGCCAACCCCAAACGGATTCATGAACAGGTAGACATGACTGAACAATGACTGAACAACAGCAGCAAAAATACTCATGAATAAGTACATACAAAATGGATATAAACTCTTACTAGGGTAAGGATTCGTTAATCCCTCTTTCCCCCTCTTTTACCACATAAACCCAGAGAGGAATTTAGAGTAATTATTTTTTAAAATTTCGTTATTTCCTACTCCTTCCAGATGCCCTCCTTTTTCCTTTACTCCCAGGGTGGTATAATCACCTGTACCATGTATGGACATATTCCTGTTCAGATTTTCCATCTATACATGTCATACAATATGTATGAAAGTGGCAGAAGTAAATCTCTGTGAGGAAATATGCTTACTTTTCCTTAATCCTTATATGTTCAACTCATTCTATAAGCAGAGAGATCTGTAGTTTGTCAGAAAAGGACAACTTCCTAACTAGTCACCCTCCACATTTCTTTGCAGAATGTATAGGGGTCAACCCTCTAATTTGCCAAATGACTAACTAAATTCTTAATTCTTGTTGTATAACTTGTGCCATGTCTCAGAAGAGAAAAATTTTGGGGCAGGAAACTGGCTGACTCATCTTCACTCTTGCTTTTTTTTTTTTAAACTGGAATGCATTTTACTGAGGACATCAGAGTGAGTGCTATTGATTTAAAAGACAGTCTAAATACTAACCATAGCAGCTGACCAAGTAACTGCTGTAAATGCACAGATCCCTTTTGGGCTCATATTACCATCTTTAATGCATGGCCAGTAAGTCAAGTGATCCATTTTGCTCCTGTAAAAATGTTTGCTTTGTTTTTTTAATTCCCTTCATGCTTGTGGATTTATTGTAAGAGAGTATTGCAGGAACCCCAGAGTCTAGTGATTATGGTTCTGATATGCCTAAGAGCTTTATTTGGAATGCTTGCAGAACTCTAGCTATTGTTTTCTCCAATGATAACATCAGTTTTT